GCTGGCACATATTTACCCAATGGTCCTCCGGGGAAATTCTTGAAGCATTAGCTAACTTCTGTGTATAAATGCTCTCATCAAAGCTGATTTCAAGCTACAGAGATGCGTGCAGAGCAAGCAGAAGCCAGTGCCGGCACACGACTGCCTTTTCCTGCAACTCTCTTTGCCGACGTACAACGTCCTGGCTGACTGCCTCACTTCATGTCTCACCTCCAATCCCATCTCACTAGAGATGGATCTTCTAGCACATGTGTCCGTCCTCACACTCATACCTCATCTGCCCTGTCACTATTCTTCTTAACCTGCCTTCTTTTCATAGCCCTTATCACAGCCTGGCATGCATGCATTTATCATCAATCTCTCCCCCTTAGAATGTGAGCTTCACAAACAGGTGCTTCTTTTGTTCCATGCTGCATCTACAATGCCGAATACATAGAAGGAAGGAGCTCAGTAAATATTTGCCTTCAAGTGAAAGAGGTTAAGTAACCTGCCTGAATCACACAGCTATTCACTGGTAGAACAGGTACTCGAAGCAATGAAGTTCCTGGTCTTAACCAAGCTGGATGGCTCTTCATGCCAAAGCCGGAATCAGTTCCTGCGTAGGGAACGGCAGCAAACACCAAACATTGGTTGCCGTCTGCAAGAGCTGTTGTGGAAGTGGCTAGAAACAGGCTGCAAAACCAGACTGGATCCCTTATGCCTGCCCTCCAGGGAAGTGAAAGCTGTCGAGGGCGACCTGGACTAAAGGAGACCATTAGGAGACTAAATGAGACGTGGTGGATGGGGGTGATTATCATCACTGTTAATGCAAATGATACCCAAGCGGATTTTTAAAATGATTAAATAATACCTAACTATGTAAAATTACATCAAACAGGAAGGGAAGATTCAACCATAAACTTCCCACACAGAAATAACCACGGATAATTGAGACTGTGTCAGACTTTTTCCATGAAAATATATTTTACAGAATTAGTATAATACGGCACATAACTTTGTTACCTGCTTTTTTTTTCATCTTTCTGTGTCAATAAACATGCTTCTTCACATGTTGAGTGGCTTTAATTCACTTGTTCTCCATTGGTGGACATTTAGACACATGTTGCACATGGTTGGTTTTTGCTATTTTAAAATTTGCAATAAATCTCACGCAGAAATTTATGAACAAATCTGTTGGTTAGGATAAGTTCCTAACAGTTTCCCCCACATTCTTGCCACCACTGTGCATTATTCCTGTAGCATCAGAATACCTCACATTTTCTGAGCACTGTTCTAAACACGTGCTGTGTATCAACGCATTCATTTCTTAGCAAAACTCCATAAGGGGACAGTTACCCCCATGTTGCAGATGGGGAAAGTGAGGGAAGTGGCCGGGCTGAGGTCTGGTCCGGATGGCTTTGGAGTCTGTGCTTGTGGCAGATGACCACGGGGCCCACGGTGGCCAGGTGTGACAGGCTGAACTCAACCTGCTCTAACGGTTACCTACTACGAGGCCTTAGGAAAGATACGTAGCAGCTCCGGGTCACTTTCCTCATCTGTGACGTGGACGTAAGCAGAATGAGCTCCTAAGGTGGTGGTCTTTTTTTTTCTTCACAATTAGGAAATTGTGTCACAAAACAAAACCTAGCGATAGTTCCATCTGCAGTTATTTAATGCAGTGAGTCCGTGACGTCCTTTGTTTCTCTTTGCAGTGCTTGATGTACAGACTCAAGAGTTTGTGGACACCAGACAGGACTCTCAGGAATCCTATCCAGTCGTAAAACACCCAATCCTCTCACTTCTTTATGTGCCTCCTTTTTCGGGAGGAGAAATACTTTCTTTTCCAAAAGTTTACTAACACGGCTTTGCTCATTGGGCAGGTCCGTGTCACGTGCTCATTCCCAAACCAGTCGCGGGCAACGGTTTCCCTCGACCGGGCAGTGGGGGGAGCCAACCACAAAAATTCCAGCATTAAACTCTTTGGAAAATCCACCAGTCCTGTTTACCCCGTCTTGTTTCTTCTGGATCGAGAACCACGATGCTATTTATCTTAAGCATAGATGAATTACTTACAGAAAGAGAAAAAGGGTAAACTACCCTTCATTAAACTAATGAACATTTACTGTACATTTCAATCAAGTGAAAGGCCCTATGCTAGGCACTGAGGGAAATACAAGTGAAAATCAGACCCAACTTCTCCGGTCTTTCCCTACCAGAGTAGTGGATACGGGAACCATAAATACACGAGCTACTTTGTAAGGCAGGCATTCCTTAGAAGTACCATATTTCATGGACAATGAAAATACGGTGAGAGTAGGTGGGAGATCCGTTCAGAATGAAATTTCTGCTTCAAAGTCCATCACAGCTGATTTTCACATTTGTAACTGTCCAGAGCCACAGAGGGATGGTATTCCAAGCACGGGGCGACCATCTCACCAGCCTTAGCAGCAATGGAAACACTGCCCGAACGGCTGCCACATCTCACACGAGCCTCTGGCAGACAGAGCACAGGTCGGACCAACCAAAGCCCAACAGTGATTTACTTTCCAATAGACTGAAAGGCAAACTGCTGACAAAACGGCTTTTTAGTTAAGGGATAACATGCATACGGCAAAGTGCACGGATGTTAAACGTGCAACTCAATTACGTTTTTGTATATACTCGAGTGGTGGTGACTGGAGTATGAAACACGCTAGTGGGTGACACAGAAAGGGCTCAGGAAGTATTATTACCTATTATTGTCCCATCTGCTGATTTGGAAAGTGAAGAATACAATCTTGGTTTCTCTGTGTTTTTTTGTTTTTTGATATGTGGCTTGAAACATTCTTTTTTTCTGTGAATTCTTTATGTACTTTGGCCTTTTTGTTATTAAGGTATTAGTCCTTTTTCTATTTTGTAAGAGCTCTTTATAGATTGATGCTCACTCTTTCTTATATTGCAAATATTTCCCCCAATTTGCCCCTTGCCTTTAAAATTTCTTTACTACCTCCTGGTTTTTAGTATTTATGTGGATGAGTTTCTGCTCTTTTCCTTTGTGATTTCAGACTTTGACGTTCTGCTTAAGAAAAAACAAAACAGAAACAAAAAGGTTTTGACTCCTGCTTCCTGAAAAAAGAAATAAAAACTATTTCACTATTAAATAATCACCCATATTTTAGTATGGAACCCTTATAATTTTATTTCTATTCAAATCTTTAATCCACATATAATTTATCTTAGCACACAGTGTGAGGCTAAGATCTAATCTTTTTTGAAACAGCCGGTTCTGACATTGTACACTAAATAATTCACCCAGTTTACACTCACTTAAAATGCCATCTTTACCATAAATTAAATTTTCATGGTTTTCTTTTTTCTACTATGTCATGAGAATGTCCAGAGGACCTGAGTTTAGTTGACTTCCCTTACTGTATAGGGAGGCTCGCTGTAATACACGAGACAGCCATGGCAGGAGGGAATATTCACATTCTACACACTAGCATGTATTTCTAGACTGACTGGTCTCTCACTGATCACTCGGCATATTTCTGTTGTGAAGCTGTATTTCCTGTGAAGTTACACCTTCATATCCCCCTGCCAGGAGCAGCCTTCCACGGCTTGTAATTTCCCATATGCCCCCATCCATCCATTGATTTGGTAACATTATTCATGCCTATTCTGTACCATGCACCATGCTAAGTAGTGAACCAGACAAATGCAATTCTTTCCACGATGTAGCATAATATATTAGCCGGCAGGAGACAATCTTTAAATATTTACACCAGTCATCCGTCACTGTTGTGTTTGGTGCTACAGAATATAGCACAATAACCTTTCTAGCTGAGGAGTCTCATTTCCAGATCCGTTCGTCTCTTCATACATTTAGTGAGACACAGCCCAGAAGAGCTGGTTCCAATTTCCAATGGGAAATACCAGGAAGAACCTTGAGAATCATCTTCAGAGTATTTACAAGACAATGATGTGAGGAGTAAGAACAAATAGTTAAAAGTTAAAAGAGAGACCTAAAACTCTAGGGCACAAATGCCATCAGCTTAGCCCACTTGGAGACAGTCCTTTAAATTCTCAGGCCTATATCCTGAGCAAAGCCAGGCCCATGAGATCTGAAATTGAAGAAGGTCAAGGATGAGGCAGAAAGGCGATGCCAGCATAGGATCATTTTGACGTCTGAAAGGGGGAAAACTAGTTGTATATATAGCTTAGAGCTCTTTGTGACCCATACCCTGTTTTTTCTGTGATGCCCCTATTTTCTACATCTGACAGGTTTTAAACTGTGGGCAACTGCGTAGAATAGTTTTAATAGCTCAAACAAAAAAATTTGCCTATGGAAAAAAAGGAAAAACAAAAAATCATGAATTTTTCCAACCAGTAAATTCTACCTGCACTGAGTTCAGGCTGCAGAGTCACCAACAATGATGAAACCACACAGCACCACATTCCCAGCTCAAACTGCAAAGGACTTTTGTGGGTTTTGTTTTTGTTTTTGTTTTTGTTTTTTAATGAAAGTAGATATGCCTGGGGGCAGCTGAATATAAATAATTCTTATCTTTATAAAAAATTTCTTTCTCTTAAAAAAAAAAATTCTCCCCTACTGAACCCACACTGTGATGGTAACAAATAAATCTGATTTTATAATATCCCAAAAAACCTATATTGGGTTATTCAAGAGAATAAATTTCAAACAAAAACAAAGGATTTGTATTTTTACTTTAAAATAAGTTTGATATTTCCAAAGTCTGCTGAAGAAAGAAAGTGCCAGCAAATTCACTTGTCACCATACATAAAGCTAAGCTTTCTAAAGGGAATCTCTTTAGCATGAGATCAAATGCAGTCTGCTCTTAGAAGATTCCCCAAATGCTACTATTCCAGCCTTAAAAGATAGTTTCTGTTTCTCTGAGAAACAAAAAATATCTAATATCACATACAAGCACCACAGATACCTGAAATGCAAAATAACCAGCAAGTCACATTCTTTTTCCACAGAATTAGCAGGCGTATGTCACCTGCTCCCAAGGTCATTTATTTTACTCTTTCCTTTTTTTACTGGCAGGGCTGTCCAAAACCTCGATCTTGCCTTTTCCGTCTTCTGAATGAGGAAGTTTAAAGTTGTCTGTGGTGACTTCAGAAGAGGCGGTGTCGTCCTCCTCAGAGTCTGAGCTGTCCTCTGAGCTGTCTTGCGAACTCTCTTCTGAACCGTCCTCTTCTTTTGAATCAGACTGATTCATCTCAAACAAGGCCACATCCTGCCAAAAGCACCACGTGAGAAATTTATTCCAGGGCAGTTGCCTAAAGCTGTGATAACAACCCTGGGAAGAACCAACTTTTGGCCCAAATACTGAAGCACAAAGGACAAGGAATATTTTTAGTGCAATATGGCACTTTTTTTCTTTCAGTTGCCACAGTCCACCATAATGATTTACATTTACTACAAGTCTAAGAAATCCTCCCACAACCCGATTCTATATACCCTGAACACATTCAACGATAGGCGTTCAACAAATATTAATAGAGGTGCCTGGGTGGCTCAGTCAGTTAAGTGCCTGCCTCACTCTTGATTTCAGCTCGGGTCATGACCTCACAGTCATAGGCTCGAGTCCCGTCTTGAGCCCGGCACTGGGCATGGAGCCTACTTAAGAGTCTCTCTCTCTCCTTCTGACCTTCCCCAGCTCATGCACACACGCATGAGTGCCCTCTAGAAAACAACAACATAAACCCCCAACAAAACAAAAAAAACACAAATATTGACAAATACTAACATGAGCCAGGCACCACACTAGGTCCTAGAGACTCCACAAGAACAACAAAATCCTTGCCTCTGTGCAACTGAACGTTTTTGAGCAGGGATTGGCAAGTTATGGCCTGTTGGCCAAACCCAGCCCACTAACTGTTTTTGTTTAGCTCATGGGCTAAGAATGTTTTTTTTCCCCCAGTGGTAGGGAAAAAAAGTTAAAAAATAATATTTCATAAAACACAAAAATTATATGATATTCAGATTTCAGTGTCCGTAAGTAACACTGATAAAATTTGCCTGTTCGTGACATAATCGTCCACGGCTGCTTTCATGCTAAAGCGGCAGAAATGAGCAGTCACAAAGAGACAGAACGGTCCACAAAGCAAAAGTATTTACTAGCTGGCCCCTTACACAAAATATGTGCTGACCTCTGGTCTAGTTAGGAAAGGAAGACAACGAACACCTACATGTAAAGCACAGCGCGGAGCAGTGAAAATGAACAAAAGCAAAGTAGGATACGATAAGGTACTCATGGGCCGTCGGGAAAAGCCTCTTGTTGAGGGGACAACTGATGAGAGGTAGAGGGAGTTAAGCTGCAGAAATGTGGGCAAGAGCCTTCCACACAGAGGGAACAGGCCTGGAGCAAGGAGCGTGAACGGGAGCGCAGGCAAGAGGGGGCCAGGAGGGAGGGAAGTCAGACGGAGAGCTGGAGGCCGCTCACACGGGCCCTGGAAGGACTCTGAATTCATCGGAAACGTGATGGGAAAGTGAGCCACAGACAGTGTGAAGAACAGGTTCTCGGGAAGAAAGGGCAGAAGCAGGGGAGCCTGTTGAGGAGTCACTGCAATAGTCCAGGGTGGAGACCACGATTCCGTGGACCGAGGGTGGCAGCAGCAGACGTCACACAGAGTGGCTGGCTCCGGGAAATATTCTGGAAGCAGCGCTGAGCAGAGCTGCTGCCGAATGGGATATTATCATCAACAACGGTGTTGGCTCTGTCCAGACACAAGTGTTATAAAGGGAACTCCGGGGCAGAAATAAGGTGTGAATCTAAATGGAGAGGATTTTGCAGGTGGCTTAGGTAATCAGTTATTGCATTAAACACATTCATTTTTGCATTTTCTATCAATCAGGCTATGATTACTTCTTTCAGGCCTTGGATGGGAAAAAAAATCCACTTAGGACACTTAGTAAATTAACGCTTCAAGATAACAAATGTAATATTTGACCTTAAAAGCCCTCCTATGATTCTCTATTACTAAATTTCTAAGCTCCACCCAGGGAAGCTTACTGGTCTGTAAGATCCCTAATCATAAAATGACTGAGTTCCCACGCAGTGCTGGAAGCATGAGCTGACTTTGCAAGAAGGAAAATAACACTTGGAGTTAAAATGGAAAAGTCCTCTCTTTTGTAGATGATGGGGCATACCGGTAAATTTCATACTTGATGAAATGAAAACAAAGCATAGCTACCATTTGTATAACTTTTCCAAGACTCCCATCAATATCTTCAATATTGAAATGCCCAGGGGGTGCGGTTGCCATTTCTTTTCTTAGCTTTTCATTTGCCTGAGCCATCTGTGGGAGAAAGGTCTGTACTTGGTCCAATACTAAGGAGAGAAAATAGAGTGTATCAATATTTAGGTTAGTCTTTGGCCACACTTCAAATTTTAAAATCCAGAATTTCCTATAAAACACTTCTGACTTGAAAAGTAATCAGGGGCACCTGGGTGGCTCAGCTGGCTCTGTTGGGCGTCCGACTTCGGCTCAGGTTATAATCTCCCGGTCTGTGGGTTCGAGCCCCGCATCATCAGGCTCTGTAGTGACAGCTCGGAGCCTGGAGCCTTCATTGGATTCTGGGATTCCCCCCTCTCTCTGCCCCTCCCCTGCTCATGCTCTGTCTCACTCTGTCTCTCAAAAATAAAATGTTAAAAAAAAAATTTATTTTTAAAGTAATCACAGCGACAATAGTTATAATTTAAAAAAAAACTCAAATTTCTTCCATTTTAAAAACCTCTAACCTTTTTCTGAATCCTTAAAGCAGTAGGACTACACAAGTTAGCGAATATTTCTCAATGTTTATTAGTGTTTTCATATATCCCCAGAACTGCACATTTCTAGAACGCTGGCATTCAACCAATAGTCACTGAATAAGGAGAAAGTATGACTTAACAGTTAAACGAGCCAGGCTCTGAGGCTTTGCATTCAGGCTGACGAGGTTATTCACAGCGTCCCAGTTCCGCCTTCTACCTGAACTACCTTGGGCATGTTAACTAAGTAGTGGTTGTCTCCACCTACCCAACATGCTCCCCTTGTTTCTGATAACATAATCCTGACCTTCCTTTTAAGCTCTGTCATTCCTTGCCACTCTTGTGCCTTTCCCTATACATGCCTAGATGTTCCACAACACTGGTCACCATGCTTTGGTGCAATACCATAGACGGTGACACTGTGACCTAGCCAAGCCCATAAGAGATCACCCTGGGACTTCAGCCTGAACTGTGGAGAAAGAGAGCCCTTCTTTCTGAGTCAGTAAATGAGTGGTTGAGCTGCTGATGAACTGGGCAACTTGCCACATGGTGAGGAAGGGCCTGTTCTAGAGTTAGCCAACACCTAGGGAAGCAGAGCTAAGAGTTAGAGCAGGAGACCCCGGATGACAGCGAGCACCTGGGTGCAGAGGTACCTGAAGTCACTGCTCCCTGTCCCACAATAAAATTGGTCACCATAACTTATTTTTTGGCTTAAGGCAATCAGGAGTTGGAGTTTAGTCATCTGCAGCCACAAGTGTCCTAAAAAATTTAAATTTAACCATTCAATACCTCAATTTAGGAGTGCCTGGGTGGCTCAACTGGTTAAATGTTCAACTCTTGATTTCATTTCAGGTCATGATCTCACAGTTCGTGGGATGGAGCCCCGAGTCAGCCTCTGTTCGGACAGCGTGGAGCCTGCTTAGGATATTCTGTCCCTCTCTCTCTCTTTGCCCCTTCCCCACGCATGCACGCGAGCATTCTCTCTCAAAATAAATAAATAAACAAAACCTCAATTTACTCATCTGTAAAACAGGGGTAATAACTGTATTATCCTAAGTATAGGGGAATCAATAAGCAAGGTGCGTCTAATGTCGTTAGCTTTCAAAAGAAGCCCAGCACATAACTGTGCATATAATGAGTTCTCAAAACCTGTTAAGTCACTGATACAGCTACACGATACACGACTGAAACGTCTGGAGTACAGAAGATGAAAAGAAAAAGGTGGTAAAGGTCAAGAAATGGCCTTGAATCGAAGTGCCTGGCCGGCTCAGCCGGTTGAGTGTCCGCCTTCAGCTCAGGTCATGATCTCACAGCTTGTGGGTTCGAGCCCCATGTCAGGCTCTATGCTGACAGCTCAGAGCCTGGAGCCTGCTTCGAATTCTGTGTCTCCCTCTCTCTCTCTCTACTCCTCTCCCGCTCATGCTCTCTCTCTCTCTCTGTCTCTCAAAAATAAACATTTAAAAAATTGTTTTTTAGAAAGGGGAAAAAAGAAATGGCCTTTAATCGTAAAATAGGGCTGCTAGAGGATGAAATCAGGCCATATACATAAAAAGCCCCACAATTAATCACAAGGAAAGAAATGAGAAACATAAAAAAGACTCAAATGGAAGTCTACAGATGGAATGAATACACTGTGAGCAACTCATTTAGACACCAACCCCCCTGGGCAGTCCCAGGGTGACGATAAAGAGCTTGGGTCCAATAGCTGGGGTTCCCTGTGGACCTCTACTGCTTACATGGGCAAAATTTAACATCACAGAGAGTTTTGGAGAGAGAAAGGGGTAAAAGAAAGAGAGGGAAAGATACTTACAGGGACTCCTCTCTATCCGAACTGTTTGAAGAGTGGAAGTTTTTCTGCAATTAGGCTTGGGGTTGATGAGTAACCTGTCCCATATACCTGAAAGCACACCAACACTGAATTTACTAGAGCATAAGGAAATAGAAGCCCGTCGGCGAACTTGTCACAACCACTCTCAAGTCTTGAACATTCCACATTCTCCAAGACATTTTTAGAAAAAGAGGCCCTCCAAGTTCCATTTCAACATTTTACCTCTTTACAAACACCCAGCTGCCCTTCCTTAGGCCTGTCTCATACATCTGTATGTGTCACCGATGCTAAGCATTAAGTGCAAACTAACCTGCACCTGTGCGGATCAGAACTCCATCAGTGACAAATGCGTTTCTGCAACAAAGGGACAGAGGAAGCAGTACAGACACAATAATAGTTAAGTGGAGCCAGAAGTGGTTATACTGGGCAAATTATTTAACCTCTTGGAGCATTCCTTTATTTATAAAGCACACCTGCCTTGTTAGTGGACCTTCATTAAACATGTCCAACCTAGGGGCGCCTGAGTGGTTCAATCGGTTAAACATCTGACTTCAGCTCAGGTCATGACCTCACGGTTCGTGCGTTTGAGCCCTGAGTTGGGCTCTGTGCTGACAGCTCACAGCCTGGAGCCTCCTTCGAATTCTGTCTCCCTCTCTCTGGCCCTCCCCAACTCACACGCTGTCTCTCTCTCTCTCTCTCAAAAGTAAATAAACATTAAAAGAAAATTAAAAAAAAATATCCAACCTAGACAAATGAGCCCTTTGAAAACCTTTTGTTGTCCCCCCACCACCCCCATACACCTTTTCGGCCCCCTCACTACTACTTGCCAAATCAAACAACTCTTCAGCCCATCAGAGTTCAGAGGACAGGGCCTGAGTTTTTCAAAACTCAAGGCTTTGACCCCCCTGTTTCCAGCAACTGGAAAACCTCTTCACTTAAGTACAAAACTCCTGTTCACCCCCAAAGCAGAGCTTAACAAATATTCTTTGATTACTACTTTAGGTCTAACAATGGGATTAGCATAAAGAATCCCATCAGTCTGGAGCTAGACTGACTGCATTCAAATCCTAATTTTGCCACTTTCCAGCCACGAGATCTCCAGCAAGTTACTTATCTGTATGACACACGGTGACTCAGTTTCTCACGTTTATAAACTAGAGATAACAGAACCTTCTGCACAAGGCTTTTGTGAGGATTGAATAAGTTAATTAATTCCTGGGTCACAGTAAGCACTACATAAACGTTGGCTCTTATCATAACTTTGGGATGCTCTGGGTTCTCACCGAATGTC